CAGTGCCAGCAGTGGCAGTTGCAGTTCAAGTCGCCTCTTGCATACAAATCAACTGCCAGGGCAGAGTGTGGGGTTGGGGGGCACTCAGAACTCGTTTGCAGGCACAGCCAGACACGCTTTTGGATTAGTTTTGTTTCATTTTCGAAGCTCTTTTTCGCCACTAAGTGGTTGTTTCCAAGCCAGCGCAGATCTGAGCTTCAGCTGATGGAGGATCTGAGTGGAAGTGTGACGTGTATTAGCCGGGGGGAGCCAGCAAACTAGATTGAAGATGAGGCTGGGCAGATGGGACGGCAATTGCGGCAGGAACGTGCGCTCAAAGTGAGACAAATGGAGGCTCAGAAGTGGAGGCTTTGGCATTCGCAGAATCTGTATAACTTGTGCTCCTGACATGCCGAAACGAAATAAAGAATTTACTATTTTGCTTGCCCACTTAGCCTCGATTTCCCAACGATTTTCCCAGTGTCTGGCGCCTCTTTGCAGCCTCTAAGCAGAACCTTGCATAATCCGCAATTAGAAACTGCAACTCAAGCTGTGGCTGCTGCAAGTTGTTGCGAGCTGCTTTTCCCATGTTCAAGCCATTGACACCGATTTTTGTGGATTGCCGCTGCTGTGGCTTTTAGGCGAATTTCACACAGAGAACAGGGAAAAGTGAAAATTCTGCCATGGCACAAATTCTGACATCGGGGCTAGAGAGAGATGCGACTGCAGTCGCCGGGCCAAACACTGATTAGGAGGGGGAATGACTCCAATTGCAGCATCAGTAAATAAATCGTTTTGATTGATGAACGTTTCACCGCCAGCCGAAGTCTTGGGAAGTCCATCAATGACACTGCACTCGCTACGGATATCTATTCTCAGCCAGTCATTGCCTGTTATGTAAGCGATCAATGAGGGGAAATAAAACTAAGAGTCACACCAAGAATAATCATTGAACTTCCTTTGAGCGACAAATTGCCGCAATCTGCCGCAGATCCATCTTGATCTGTCATTGATCGGGTTGTAATTGGGGGGGTTTGGGCAACGCTTTGGCTAATTTGATTAGCATAATTTGTGTGTGTGAAATCCTGATTTCCCAATGCAATTTCCGCTTTGCGGTGCTCTGATGCCAGTGATTCTGGGACGGCTCTGTCTTTGACTCGGGACTGGCCGGGAGGAAATGTTTGCCCATTTACCGATTGCCCGCTTGATTGGCACTGCATGGGGGGGGGGGGGACATGGCAGACACAGGCAGAAATTAGCTGCCGGACAAGTTCGTTGTCTAAGTCTTTAGATGCCAGAGCGTGAAACAATTTCAGTGCCAAGGGCAGACCCTCGACTACGACTTGCAGGAGCAACCATAAATAGGTACAACAGCAGCAAAAGAAGCAAAAAACTGCATTCGTCGGGCAGCACAGATCGTGACCAAATGCAATTAGGCAGAGAGACTCCGACTCTCAGACTGCAAGTTCAACGAAGAAGGAACGCCACAACTGGGCCCTGGCTAGGTCTGGCTTTGTCTGTTTACATATAGATATATGTATGTAAGTTGCCTTTATGCTCCTCTGCTTATAGGACTCACCATACTTGCTGCCCGCTTTGTTGGCATTGTTGCCACGCTGGTTCTCGCTTCTGTTGCCTTCGAATGTTTTCCCTTCTGCGGCTGCGACCATCGATACCGATGCATTGTTGTCGCTGGAGCTCTTCGCTTTCCGGGCACTCTGCTTGGGACCTGGGGATGCTGCCAGCAGCAATGCCGGCAGCAGCAGCAACAACAACAGCGACAGCGACAACTGGCTGCAGCTGCTGCCTTGTATTGATTTCGTTGACATTATTTTGGTTGATTTATTTCGCTTTGCTGTTTGCTCTCATCAAATGTGTGTCAGTCGGGAGCTGTGGCTGGGTTTAGACGTGGGGAAAATGCAAGTGTCGCTGGCGGTGGGCCCCACTGGTTCGAGGCACAGTTTGTCTTTCGGCGGCTGATGGTTATTTGATATTTTGATTTATGGAAATGTAACTGCTACTTGTAGCTGAGTGTCCACCAATTGGGTTTGAGTACACTTTCTGGTTTCTGGTTCTCTTTTCTGTGGCAGAAGAACCGTTTCGGTTGGCTTTTATTACTACTACAACTATGGTTGCCCACTAAATCCCATTTGTCACGGCACAAAATAAGTAGAATCTGCCGCTGCGTTGGATGTTACTATTCCGCGTCGGCTGTGGCATGAACCGCGCGTTGCCAGCTCTTTTCTTCTTCTGCGGCAGCCGAGGCCCAAAACCTAACCAGCCAAGCACGGATCAGCTGTTCCCGAGAACACACAAAGCCAAGGCCGAACGACCGACCAGAGCTTTCGCAGCATGAGAGCGCAAAAGCTCGCTCTCAGCTGGGGGCCACTTTATGCTGTGCTTTGAATGCTTCATGGAAGGTTGAGTGGTGGCCTTATCAGCTGTAGCTTATCATTTGATGAACGGATGGACAGTTTGTAAAATGTCTCTTTTGCTGCTGTTTCTGTTTTTTACACAATTAGTTATCCATATTTGGGCAAAGCTCTTTCGTAATTAAGGCCTATCCCAAGCCCCGGGATTCGATGGAGCACCAAAACATTTAGCATTTTTGAAACCGTTAGTTCGGCTGCTTATTTTAAACCAGGTGTCACCCGAAGAGAGAACCACTTTCCCTTTTTCTCCGACAGCCCCGCATGCCCATTGCCCATTGTCCATTGTCTTTTGTTTTTATTTTCTTTCTCTTTCTCCGGTCGCCGCATTGATTAATACTTAATCAGCAATATTATTGTTATTGGTTTTCTACAGTTTCCAATGGTTTTCTAAAGCGAGAGGGCGGCGGCAGTTTCATAAATACATTTTTCGCTCGCGTCCAACGAAAATCAATTATAAAGTCGCACAATAAGTTTCTCCATCACAAACAACAAATCGAACAAAGAGCTGAGAGACATATTGACCACCTACGTACCTATATTTGCGCTCATTGCATAATCGAACACTGAACAATTGCAACTTATAGCAGAAAATATCGAGTACACAGAGACATCACAAATACAGAGACATCAATCCACAATCAATACAAAGTTTTGCTGTAATTGCATTTTGAAAGCCACTTCTTAATGTTTTGCGTGCAAATGGTTTGTTTTTGGCGTACATCTGGAAAGCACAAACATCGAATGAACAAGAGAGGATATTGAAAAGGAATAACACAAGAAGGTGTAAGCTGAGGGAATAGATTGCATAGAAAGAGATGATATCTGACGGCGCCTAGAAGTATGTGAATACCTTGGGCATTTTTGCGTGATTCGCCCAAAATGAATGTTCATAATTTGGGCTTCATTAGGGATAGTTTAGGGATAATTTGTATCCAGCCAAAAAGGGCATGCTAATCGGCAGCACTTGCCCTTTGATCAAGCGAGCCATTTAATATCGCCTCATTTCCATCAACTTCCGCTCCTAAAAAGGCTTAACCCAGCGACACGCATGGTCATTTCCTGTACTATAATGTACCTTTTCCCTGGCCAGCTATTCATATGTTAATTACACATTTGCAATGTGACATAAAGGCCAGCAAGAACAACTATTTTTGGGGCCGTCAAGGCCAGCGTTAGTTAAATATTTCCTCTGGCACAAATAACGTTAATAATGAAGTGGGTCGAGCAGCCGTACTTTGTATCTACTTGTGCTTGTGCTTGTACATCCTTAGACAGGCTGGACTGGTGCCCAGGTCCCAGTTCCATAAAAAGTCCCTCGATATTCGTGGCCACTCAGCGGCACAGTCCAGTCCACTAATTTAGCTAATTAAAAATTTAATGAAGCTTTCCAAACTAAAAATACCTTCGACACGAAGGTGGATTGGAACACCTGTTGGCCCCGTAAAACTCGTTGTCTTGTTTCCCAGCTGTTTAGCACCCCGAAAACGACCCAAAAAAGGGTACAGCAATTCAATTGTGGGTCGGAGGCAGAAGTAGAGCCCAACTTCGAAATCGAAAACGCTTTTTCGGTGGCTTTTAAGTGGGTGAAAGAAAGCCTGAAGGAAGGCAACAAAAGCCGTTTCCTGCGCTGCGCATAATTGAGTGGCGGCCATCATTGCTTCGACTAAGTGTACCGATTTGCATACCACTGGCTCTCGCTCATGTCATTAGCAGCGTCACTGGGGAGCAAGGACAGGACTGTGTCGTGCCGGTTGGAGACAGAATTAACATGCCAGCGAGTGACAGACTCGAGGAGTATGCGCAACGTTCCTTGACGCCAGTTCGTAGCCTCCGCCTCCGCCTGCCTGCTGCCTGCCACGCAGCGTTTGTTTGACTTGCCCCTGCCTACCGCTCCTCCTCCTTTGCCGCCTGGATTACATGTCTAGAGCACATCAAACAAGCTTACTTACCAATGACCTCGTTAATGACGCACACACACACACACACACACACACACACACAGTCACACACGCAAAGGACACACTCAACCCACTGCGTGTGCGTTTGCCGTGCTGTTGAGTTTACTTTGTAAGTTTCGCTTATCAGATTTTATTTTTGTTTTCATTTTTGATTTTTTGTCAGCTGCTGCACATTACGAGTCCAAGCGTGGTAGGGGTCAGCAATGGGTTTTGTGTGAAATCGACATGGGAAATGCCCTGGCAATATGGAATAAAAGAAAATATAATCGAAATTTTTAAGAATTATTATTCTATTTCCAATTATATTTCAAGCGCTGACGGCGGCTGAACTGTTAAAAGCCCAGTTTAACAGCTCTGTAGCTCACAGAGCTTGCAGCCCAATATAACAGCGCAGCTTAACAGCTCAGTTTAACAGCCTGCTTAGGCAGCCCGCTAACAGCGGTCTACAGTACTGTTGGCGCTCTCCGACTGCGCTCAGAGAGTGGGCTCGCGCTCGCTCTCACGATCGATTCGGCTTTACACTGTAAGCTTTTTAGCATTGTTTCCACCCCCGCACTGTTACAGCCCCGACAATGCATACACATACAAACATGCATACAAAAGCTTTTTCTATTTGTTTCATTATCGTTAAACTGCAGCTGAACTTAGGCTCGGTTGCCCCCTTCCTCGATGCTCAGCAGAATGTTACGAGCAGTGGGACGATCCTCCATCGGCGTATTCGTGCATAGGAAGAACAGAGCGACGATGCTCTCGTGCTCCTCGCTCACCTGGAATGCCACTGGTAAAGCGGGACGCGTGCCGTAAGGCAGAAGCAGGCTGCTCTTCTTAAAGTCGGAGAGTTCTTCTATCAAGTCACCATCTGTCTGCTGGTTCTCCTTGTCCTCAGCGAAATCCATGTTCAGTGTGTGCGGCAGCACGAGCGCCAGCGTCTCGTAGATGACAAGGCCAAAGCTGAAGATGTCAGCCTTGCTGTTCAGGACCTTCGATTGCTGAATCACCTCCGGAGCTGACCACAGATCCGTTCCCTCGTAGACGCGACTACTGTTCACCTGGCCATGCTTGTCCAGCGGCAGAGCCACACCAAAGTCACAGAGCTTACAGTTCTCGAACCCCCCATTGATGAGTACATTAAAGGATTTCAGGTCGCCGTGCAGCACCCGTGCCTCGGTGTGTAGAAAGTCCAGGGCCCGGGCAACGTCTGCGATCACTTTGTTGGTGAGTTTGGCGGGCAGCGGCCCCAGATTCTCCTCGCGGCGCGCATCCAGCATGGAGCCCAACGAACAGCCGCATATCTCCAGGACCAGGGTGTTCAAGCCTTCGTCCGTTGTGACCAGCCCACAGAATTGAACGATGTTTGGGTGCTTCAGTTTCTTCAAGATTTTAGCCTCGTGCAAGATGCGCTCATTGAAGATCAAGTCCTTCTTTTCCAGCGCATCCTGTGTGATTCTCTTGATGGCCCATGGCGTGCGGTTTTGCCCATGTCGGGGAGAACGGTCCAGCCGGTACACCTTCACTCCGCTGCCAAAGCCCAGGGTCTTCATCATTGGTGATGCCGGAATGCGAATCGTGGAGCTCATGTCCTCAGACAGTTTCCGCGACTTGCGTGGCGGCGTTTCCATCTTCAGGGGGAGGTTTGTTTTAGCTCAAGAATATTTGGGCAAATATCGACAAATTATTTACTCTTATTTGTAGGGTTACTAAGACGGAAATGAAAAGTTATTCAAGCTCCAAACTGGCATAAATATCATGGCAGAGCAGATCCCTTAACTGGACAAACCTTTGACTGCTGGGTATCGCGATAAGCATTCTGCCTGCTGACGTAGTCCTGTTTCCCGGACCGAGGCACAATTAAAGTAACTGCCCATCCACTGTGGCAGCAGGCCATAAAAATTCGCCCGATTGTCTCTGGCTTCCATCGCGTCTTTGCCAACAACTCCGACAATATGTTTGCTCGATAATTACCATTGACATCATGGCAATGACGCTGCCATTTCCTCCATGTTCCCTGTACCTATTTTCATACCCATTCGAGCTCCCTGTCTGAACCACAGTGAAACAATGCACGGGCATAACTTGTGTGTGTCATTTCGATACTGTATTTATCTCATCATCATATAACCATTAACACATGCTCTATTATAATTACAATACACTAGTTAAGTTAACTATTAGTTAATTGGTCGAGCGCTGGCCACGTTTCGTATTCGGTTTCGGGGATGTTCGCAGTTTACTTTCTCGTTTCTCTTTGATCTCTTTCAGGTCCCCGAAAGCAGCCCCAAAACTTCATACATATAATATTCATTACATTATAATTAAATAATACTTGTGTGTGTGTGTGTGTGTGTGTGTGTGTGTGTGGTAGTAACAAAGGAATCTTTTCTGGCATAACTTAACAGAGAACTACATGCTAGGGGGTGACCATTAGGCTGGTCCTCAACAGGCGCTGATCCCCAATGGGCCACTAAAAATAACTCGTAATAAGTAACTCAAATAATAAGTTTTCACTTAAGCAATATTGTGGAGCTCCTAAAACGGATTTATGTGGATTTATTTAGCTTGGGTTTCTGGCAACTTCAAAACTAATTTCGTGCAGAAAAGGGAGAGCAGAGGACAATACTGCATGGCATTTGCACACACTTGGGGCCACATCAAAGACATTTTAATAAGTGCGAATAATAATAATAATAATTTGTAGAGCAACTTCTCTTTTGTGTGCCCTTCGTGGCAGCCGGGGGAATGGGCATGGAATACATTTTTCTAACAAAATTAAATCAAAAGTTGTTTGGTGGAATTTTTGCTCTTTCTTTCTGGGCGATAACAGGGACCAGCCTAATGCATTTTGCTATATCTTGGGGAGCGAATTTCGTTTGCTTCGGCCCCATTTTGTGTTTAAGGTGTAAACTGGAATTTGCTTTGCCATCAACTAAAACATTGACTAAATTGAATTGCACCTATCGGGTCCCGTGTCCGGACCGATTCCGATACTCTAGCTGTGCGTCTTGCACAGTCGCAGCAGCTGCGGATAGTGCAGATCCTCGTCGTACAGGTCGGAGTCGGCCTTGAGCTGGAGGTGTCGCTGCCAGATGGTCTCGTTGTAGCGCGTGGCCAACTCCACCGTGAACCCGCGGGCAGTGCACTCCGCCTGGAACACGCTGAGTGTGCGACCGCGACTCGGGGCCATGATCAGGGCCATGCCCTGGGGCGCCAAATAATACCAGATGGTGTCCACCAGCGCTGACCGTGCCTCGTCGAAGAACAGACAGTCGGCGCACAGAATGAAGTCGAACTTGGCCTGCTCCGCCTGAGCACGAGCCGAGCTCTCCTGCCACTTGAGCACCGAGCATTTGGTGTAGCAGCTCAGCTCGTTCAGGCAGACCGTCTTCCGCACATTCTCCACCGAGATCTCGTTGCCGTCGGTGAGGTGCACGGCATAGGGCTTGGCGTACTTGGCCAGCATGAGGCCGGCCAGGGAGGTGAAGCCGCCGCCCAGCTCCAGAATCCACTTGCCCCGATACGCCTCCACCTCGGAGAGCACCAGGGCCGTGAGGGCCTCCTCCGAGGGCCACACACAGATGTTGCCCGTGTTGTTGAAGCCCATGAGATCGCTGGCGGTCAGCTGTCGCTCCATGTGGTGGATGTTCACCGAGTACTCCACGTCGTTGTCCAGCAGCATGCGGTACTTGTACCAGTTCTCCGTCTTGCCCAGGCACTTGAGGCTCACGTGATCCTCGAAGCTGTCCTGCCGCAGCAGATCGAAGCTCTTGAAGCGCCGCACCGATGCCGTCTGCTCCTCGCTGAACTCGTCGCTGGAGGAGGAGACAGTCTCCTCGGAGTCCTTGCGCAGCACCTTCGCCAGTATCTTCCAGCGCTTCTGGGCCGTGCTCTGCATATTGGGCGTGGCTGGCGGAGTGGGCGGCATCACAGCTGGGGGGCAGAGTCCGATTTGCCCGACCTCCAGCTCGGAGCAGTCCCTCTGCCCAGCCGCAGTCATGTTCAGGTTCAGGTTTAGGTCTTTTTCTTGGTTGTTGTTGACTGACAGAGAACCCGCTGCTGCTGCCATTCCTCTGCCCTCCAGCGTCATCCTGCGGTGCTCCTTGAACGCATTCAGCGTGTTGTCTATGTCGTATTGCAGCAGCAGCGATATCGTCGCCAGATGTCCCACTTCCACCTCAGGTGTCTGCTCTGCCTTCCGGCTTACTTGCTGCTGTGGCTGGGCCTGCGAATTGAGTGGAGTTTCTGGTGTCAACTTTTGTACTAGGGTTGCTGACATTTTACTTGAGTTTCGGGTTGCTTTTCCGATCTATTTCCGGACTTGTTTCATATCTGAAAATGATGAGGAGAGGCGTACAGAATTAGTCAAAGTTTTTGTCTCGCCTTCTTTCGGGCCAATTATTTTCCAATTATGCATTTTTAATGGCATTCAAAATTATAATAGGCCAACCCATGTCTTTGGCTACATTTTAATGGACCAGACGGCTATGGGTATCTCTATCGACTATGCTATACCCTAATCAATTTCTTAAGCATAATGATGCTGCCATGTGGGCCGCATCCATCTTTTCTCTTGGCAATCCCTAAGGAATCTTCCACTTCCAATTTTCGCTTAATCAAAATTGTACAAAGAGAAAGAATATTTTTGAAGCACTCGCCATAATTTGATGCCTAACTAAAAACAACTAAATAATGTGCAAAGACGTAAATAAATCAGTAGAATATTCCCTCGTGCGTACCTTGCTGTTGCCTTTATTGTTTTGATTGTTGCACATTTTCCGTGTGTATATTTTTATTTTCTGTTGCCTGCCGTATAAATTCATCAAAATTAACACATTTTACAGCTCATAAAAGTGTTAATTGTGCTGACGCGAAAGCAGAAACAAACACACAAACCGACAGACACCTACTCATCGTACTCGTACCCAGATGGGCGGCGGTTGGTTTTCCAGCAAAGTTTCCCAGTCGACCCAGCAATCAGCCACAATGCGAACGGCATATGGAGTCTGTCTGTGATAAGAGGGCGTTCAGTTCTGATTAAAGGCTTGTTTTGCGCACTTTCCGCAGACCTTTGGCAATGTTGTGGCTGCGCGCATGGACCACTGACACCTACTCCGGGCAGGCGGGTACACAGTGCGGCTGAGTAATAAAAGTTCAGCCGAAAACATTCATCTTTCTCTAGGATTATCCAATTTTGTGGGCATGGGTAGCACACAAATGTTATCCGAGCATTGACAGCTGACACCTGTGCCGATAAGCTGCTCTGGGACAAGGAAAGCTGTGTCTACGGGCTTCATTACGACCAATCGTGTGCACATTTGAATAATGTAGCAAAATCTGAGCAGACATAATTCTGTGCTTGATTAGATAAAAACCCAATCTGGAACAGCAGTCAGCGGTTAGCTTCATTCCCCATTAGTTATTATAAATGGCACGAAAAATGCAGATCAAAGTCGCAAGCAGATCAGATCAGAATGTTTTCCAGCGGTTTGTTTAATTTTATATATTTACACACATAAATGTGGCAGCCCCAAGGCAGCAGCTCTCTAGTTTGATGAACTACCAGCCCTGGCAGACCATAATAAATGTCTTAATCAAACTGTGAGACCCTTTGTGGAGTCACACTCTCAGCTGTCAGCATTCCATTGCAAACATTAACAACTTTGAGGAAACTTCTCAAACTACAGCCCCTCCCAGACTCTTATGCCAATGAAACTTTGCCATGCCTAATGGCCAGCTGGAGAAAGTGGATTTGCATTCGCCGAAAGTGGGGGAAACATGAATATTGAGTGGGCTCTGGAAAACGTGCCCCAAAAACCCGCAGCAAAAGTTTACTCCGCTCAAACTTTAAAGCCTCCTGCCCTGCAGCCTCGACAATAAAAGCCGACCATGTCTGCAGGATGCCCGGGGAAAGCCAGCAAAGTGCTTCCCCTTGCTTATATAGTGAACCATTGGAAAATTAAAGTTTTTCTGCAGCAAATGCCACCAATTCGACTTGAATCAATCACTCGAGAAACTCTTCTTGCATTGTGGCAACACAAAAAGTTGCCAAAGAACAGAACCCGACAGGCAGCCGTGCGTGTGCTCCTACCTGAACGATGAGGGAGCACGCGATGCTCTATGGGAGAGACTCGTGCGTGTGTCCTCCGAACAGCTGATGAATGCTTGGCGCTCTTCGCGCTCATTGCTCGCATTAACTCATGTAATTTATTATTTATTGCAATCTACTGTCACAGCAATTTGGCTTCGCTTTTCTTCTCATGTTCTCTGACCTTGGGGGACACGAAGTGTCAACAGACACATGACTCGAGCGAGACAGGCCTGATAAAGACCACCAGCTGGGAAAAAGAGTTATGCCAGCGTCGCTGCCGAGATAATGAAGTCAAATTTAATTATGCCTGACTCGGTGGCGGTTGGGGGAAACTTTTACCATCAACGATAATCTAATACACCGCCAAGTTGGTGGGGGGGGGCAACACACTTTGCTTTAATAAATTCAATTTAGTTAGAAGTTAGAGAGAAACGCCAACTAAAAACTAAGCTGGAAAGCAGATAGACGCGGCATATAAATTGATTCAAAAAATAATCTGTTATTAAGGTGGCCGAGAGCAATTAGACTAGACATGCAAATGGTGACAAAAATCATCGTTTTATTGACAAAAAATATCGATACATCAAGCCAATGCTTCGCTGTAAAGACAGCCTCGATTGATTGATGGATTTGTGGCATTTATTCGACGTGGAGCACCACTCAGCGCTTAATTAAAGGCCAATATAAGCTAAAAACAATCACAGTCAAGTTGAGGCCACATCCTTAGATTGATGGTTTAAGTGAGCAAAGTCTCAGTTCAGCATACATTGCTCATACTCTGGGCTAGCCGATTGCCTGCCGCATGCATGGCGTATGCGTAATCTTCAAAGACTTTCGAACGCTTCCCCATTCATTCGCTGTGTACATATGTACATATTTTCCTGCGTTAGTCTTCAAATTTTATTAGCGCACATAATCCCCATCGATTTATGGCCCCATCTAACTATCCCAAATGTCTATAATGTATGTATGTACATATTTATGTATGCAAATATGTATCTCTACATTTGTGTGTGTGTGTTTGTTTGTGTCGATTTGTTTACTGTTTACAGGCTGTAAGCTGATTCCGACTGAACGCTTTTTCTTGATTTTTGACTGCAATTCAACGCTGGCGCATCTGCCTGCCCACCAACGAGCTCTAGATACATACATACATATGTACATATGTAGATATTTACATATTTACATATATGTATGTACATGCACCACTGCTCCGATTTAATTTACGCTCGCATCTGTTTTTATTGGGCATTTTCCTCCCAATTCAATGCCCATTCAGAAATCTCTGGCCTGCACCCGGCCTCAGGCGAGTTCAAGTAAGTGCAAAAATGTAAATAAAAATTCAATTTTCTTCCGCTTCTGGCGAGTGCACAGGGAACGCCGAACGGCACTCGGTCTGAAATAAAATATTAATTAAATTATTTGCATAGCCCAGGGCTGCTCCTGCCAGTCCTCTGCCCCGAAACATTTCCGGCTCGGCCGGAAGTGGTCGGGCCAAGTGTCGCCTCCAATTTTTATTGCCTGTCACTCAACCAACTCAACCACTCAACCAGATATTTGTGGTGGGCACAGTGTGGGGCAATCGAGGTGAATGTTTCAACAGCTGAAAGGGAACTCCCTGATCCGCTGCACTGCTAATGACGAGCTTCGGCCACAGGGAACGGAGCATGAGTTGACAACAAAAGGGAAAGAACTTGCAAGGGACTGTAGGTAGAGGTTTATTGATTTATTTCTGCTTGAACTGAAGGAACTGCCACTCGTTTTTTGTTTTCACTTAATCCACATTTATTTGAGCCAACAATTGGGTAAAGTTGAAACATTTCAGCGTGCTGCCAAGCCTTCTTTTATCCAAGTTCCTCGACTCCAAATGAAACATCCAGCATATGCAGAATGCATACAGAATTCCCAGCTTAAGCACGTTGAGCATTTGTGATCCTTTTTGGCTTTGGTTTCTGGCATCTGCAAGCTATGCTGAAATTGTGATAACAATTTAAGCCACGTACCACAGGAAAATTTACATATTGTGCCAAGGGGAGCTTCCCACCCTGCCCTGCCCTGCCCTGCCAAACCATATGACATAATTTTGCTGCATACACAGAGGCACGGAGGATGCAAAAATGGCAAATATGTAAAGCATTTTGTGGAAATGTGTAGCTGGCAGTCGCCAACTTGCCAAAAGCCATGGGAGGGCACTCCTTAGAGCTGGGGTTTCCAAGAGCAAAAATTGTATTATCTACTCGAGAAAGCAGAGTCATTGCGGGGCTCTTAATCATCGGAGAAACGACAAACATTTTCGGCAGGCGCCTTAATTTAAAAATAACTAAACGACGAAAAGGACAAATCCGGATGACCCTTGTGGTTTGGCATAACAAATTCGAAATAAAGAGAACAAAAGCAAAGGAATAAAATGAGAGAGAGTGAGCCAAAGGGCAGAGCCAATTAGGAGCACATCTAGCAGAGGATGGAGGCTAAAGGACCTGGCAGCACCATCAAGGACTGACCAACTGTTAAGTGTTATTTAGCCGAAAACTAAAAAACAAATTTCCCCTTTCCCCATTTGCCTTTGCCCCAAAGCAACAGTAACTATTGGACGCTTCAATAAATAAACAGGAAAATAGTTTGCGCCACAAACATATCGTGTAGTTGATATATGTACAGTGCAGAACAGCACTGTATGTGCAGGATATGTGTGTGCTGTGTGTGGAGACATGGAGACAACTCTCGCTTCGGCTGGCAACAAGGGTGTACGTGGCAACATGGCACACACACGGACACACGGACACTCGGGCAAGTCTATAAATAGTCAGCCACCCGTCCTGTGTGTGTGACAAGAACAGGAGCAGAAGGGGAGAGAGCTGTGTAGCATGCCGCAGGTGCAACCCCATGCCCTACAGCCCAACCGCAAGGCAAATTTGTGACGTGTGTCAACGCTGGGATTCTGCTTAAGCTCAAGCCACGCAAAATACACAATTCCCGGAGAAGTAGGAGCAAGGGACATGCCAAGACATGGCCAAGGGTAGATGTAGAAAAACCCACGAGGTATCAGCTAGTTGGCAGCCATTTGCTCTGACTGTCTCTGGTTAAGTACTGCTGAGGTGAAGAGGGCTCCAAAGGATGCCAATGTCGTTGCCGAGAACTGACTGGATGGCACAGCGTGGGCCTGGCTGGCGGAGGGACATGACGGAGTCTGCCTAAATGCTTTCATCACTCAGCTGGAAAGGCGCACGCACAGCTACCAGCGGGTAGAGAGAGGAGAGCCAGAGCCAGAGCCAGGGTCAACGGACTGGGTAAACATTGGGCTGGAGGCTGCTGCTAATTTGACTCAAAATATGCTCCCAAATCAATCTCCTCAAGTGTCTACTGATTGACCCACTGCCCGGACAACCACTGAGCTTATCTTGATTTTGATGTCGTTGTAGCACCAAGAGTCGGCCCCTAATCTAGGCACTTTTTTGGGGCTCTAACGCTGACAATGTAACACATTTTTTGATGACGATAATATACATGAGGCAAGGGGAGATATTTTTAGAAAATCGCGTCAGCTATCAGCGATAATATGACGGTAATCGAACATGATAATTCCAATTGAAATATCATTTGTGCGGGGCCATAATTTGAATGAAGTTGTCAGCGGTACTTTTTCTTGATGTTATTCCAATGAACTTTAAAGTTGAAATATTTGCTATATGCTTACTAGCTGGAGGAGGTGATGGCATTGTGATGGCAACCCAAGACCCAAGTGCTCCATTGGAAGTAATGCATTCAAAAGCTTGTCATTTCATTCGATACCCATGCCACGGGATTCTTCTGCCTGCAATCCATCATACCTGGAGGCAGGAAAGCAATCACCTATCGCATCGGGTGATACCAGCATTGGCCATGCCATAAATCTCTGAGCAGCAAAATATAACAGCACAACAAACCCTGTGCTGTCCATAAATCAAATCACAATGCACAATGCTCCAACTCGTGCAGCAATCTTTGGCCATTGAGGCAGAGCTCTGGTCCCTTGCATTTGATGTGCAGGAAATTCAATTTATCTCAAATATCACAGAGGCAAACATTTATTTCAATTTATACATTTTGCACAGATACAATTGTTAATGAACTTTGACACATGGCTGTGGGGTGGCTTTGTGGGTGGCCTGGATGTCCGTGGATGCCCGCGGACACCCATTCGCGTGTCCGTGTCAGAAGTCAAGAGGGAAAGCAGCGACAACAGAGTGCCCCAAGCTGCAATGAATGAAAAGTCAGCTTGACGCATGCAACTTTTTTTGCAAAGGGCACTCTGGGGGAGGGGGGGAGGCCATTGAGCGACAGGCCACTGACGGACAGAGTGACTCACTGACTGAAGCCACAAGAGCAGCTTCAGCTGGAACTTGGCCTTTAATCAATCCTGAATAAAACCCAATCAAAGAAATATTTTAGCTAATTATTCACGCACATAACAAGCAAATGTTCAATGCAAAAATCCATCCACAGCCTGGCCCATTGTATGCCTTAAGCTGCGAAACTTTTGTTATTTTACTCCTGCTGAACTTGGCTAAGCTTGGGCTGAGGATAATTAAATATCGATCAGCTAAGCCCTTAGCACTTCCCACACAAATGTCACCAGGCACACATGTAATTTCCGCCCCAAACCAGCCCGCTGCATGACTGCGGAAAGGGCGACCACAGAAAGTAAAACCGCAGGGCCGTGCCTAGGCTTATCGCCAAATCAGAGCTGCAGCAGTGCAGAACTTTAGCTGCAGCAGAGAATAGAAAGAGTTAGTTGGTTCGTTGGCTGATTATTATGTGTCCTGTCACGCGGCGACTGTTCTTTTTGCGGTGCAGCACTGCAGTTGCTTATCGCCGCTTAATGGGTTTATATTTTCAGCTGACGCTGCGTATGCGCAATTCTCTGTGATTACGGGGCTGGATGCCGTGCCCCAAATACACACCCCAGTTTCGAGACGGCTCACATTATGCAAACTTGGCAATAAAAATTCAATTAAGCTACAAGGACGCGCTGTCAAGTGCCCTCAGGAGCCATGGATGATAGCGCTGACTTTGCCGATAAATCAAAAATGTTTTGCCAGCAGCAACAACAATGGGCGTGGCAGGGGCAGCAGCAACAAATTGTGACATGCTGTGCGGCCGTTTATGACTTTGATGCACGTTTTAATTATAATTTTGACGCCAACTGTTTAAACACAGCGACGGCCGCAAATATTCGAGACACATGTGCGAGCCAGGCAGGGCGATAACAAAGCCAGTGCCAGGGCCAGGGCCAGGGCCTATGGGTAATTGCTGCTCGCCTGCACCAGAGCCCAGTGGAATGGGATCTGCCCGAGGCAGGACATGCAAACCCCATACTAAGGCACACAAAGAGCTCACATGGTCAACATAAGTCACGAAACCATCAGGCAGGAGAATGCAGAAAGCGGGAGAAATTCTCGGAAAATTGAAATGAAACCAAAGCAAGCCAATGGATAAAAGGGAACTCTTTTGTCAAAGTTTGCATCCACTTCAATTTGCAGCTCAAATTCATTTCGGTTTCTGGCTGTCAAAGTTAACCTGCAACTCACCCAACCAGCACATGACAACTATAACGACACGGAGGTGGCTCGAAGTCAGCTCTTTTTTATGTGGCGTTGCTCCTTCAGGTGTTGCCAACTACAACACACATCAAGAGCAAAGGGAAACGAAAAGAAATGGATCTAATGCTGCAGCTCCTCCCCTGTAGTTCCTTTACTTAAACAGCTACATATGTGGAGCTCTGGGCTGCCGTATCCTTTAAGCACTCCTCCAATAGCTAGCTCTTCAAAATTCTCTATCAAATGTAGCTCACATTTGCCACCTCCTTTCGCTTGATGTCCCACTGTGCAACGGAAAGTATCAAAGTGCTCTCAATGCACATAATTCTCACCCCAAAAATGTGATTAATCACGGATTGCACCTCTAATCTGTCCCCTCACTTTTCTCAGTGCATTCAAAAGAAGGCTGGCACATTTTTAATACCTGGCACTCGAAGCCTTAGAGGGGTATATTCGATTTGTGCTCGAAGGAAATGCTTCCGACCCCATGAATTATCTGTCTATCTATCAATCTGGCAAATAAAGTCCTTTTAATCTTAACAAATTCTACTTTGAACACTTAGGAAAGTCTGAGTTCAGCTCACGAACTATTTTGCAGACAGTGTTGAGGTGCAGCTTATGGCCTCATTTATCAGCTTATCAGAATGGTAAAGTTCATTACAATTCTTTCAATTTAAGTTCTTTCTCATATACCCCGCCTGAGTACCCTGTATAAAACTAGTGACGCGTTTAAGCACTCCCCACAACGTTCCTTCTGGTTTCGGCTTGGGACCAGACGTATGTATAACGTATACCGTTTGCCGAATTCCACTTGCCGCATGTCGTATCTGTGGCTGTGGCTGTTTCTGTGTCTGTGTACGTTCCGGCAACAGCGACAGCGACAGCGACTGTGACGTAGGCTTAGCCACGTGTTTATGTGGGGTGTTGGGGGGTGCCGACTAGATTTATAGTCCTCAAAGCTGTAGTCTCCATAGAATAGAGACTGTGCCTATGCCTGTGCGGCTGTGCATTCGGTACTCAATTAATACTCATCAGCGTGACATTAGTGCCATGTGCAGATGAGAAGAGAGGAAATCAAGTGCAGCAAAAAGCAAAGATACTCGTACACAGAAAAGACAGTTGAACGCGTGCAGCGGCCAATTGTTCGGCATACTCAAAGGACACACATAATAGCTCCACCCACCTATTGGTGTTTCGCTCGCTCAATCTTCGGTCCATCAATGAATCAGGGCCATAAATCTCCTTCAAGTGCGCTCGACATCATCATCAACAGACATTTTAATGCTTTGCCTGAACTTTAAACTAAATAAATAGAAAACGCTTCTGGCTCCTCTGCTCTTGCAGGTTTTTATGGCATTCGACTTTAATTAGCCCATAAAACTGGGACTGCGACTGGGACTGGAGCGATAGCAGCAAGAAAACTTTAAACAGTGGCCAAGACTTGAGCAAACAGAAGCAGCCCGAGAAGGTTCACGAGTTGACCAAATGCGAAATGCCTGCAAATCATTGAGCGTAAATTAAATGTAATTGAAAGCGATTGACAAATGGAATCTAGATCTGGCAGACCACATGCTAAGTGGAAAGCGGGAACAAGTGGGGATTTGTGTGGTGGGTACCAAGCTCAATTGAACTCTGAAGCAAAAAACTAAATAATTTTCTATGGGCTCAGAAGGAGGCTTCCAAGCTGCGAGCATTCATGAGAGATGCAAAACAATAGAAACGTTTTGCAATGTGAATTGCTTCCTATGTACGAGTATAAGTCGACATTTCTTTCTATAAACTTCAGATGGAAGAGAGATGATTAAAAAAGTTCCCATAAATACTTGGAATTCCTAAAAAAAAAAAGTTCTTTAAGTTATTTATTTTATTCTTCTGCCTCAAGGCGTTCTGTCGGGATTATTCGACTAACACAAGACTCGGATGCAACCTTTCCACAGTCAGGAGTGTGAAATTAATTAACCTTTAAAGTTTTTTGACAAAAACAAAGCGAACTTGCCACCAGCTACCAGCAACTGAAAAGAGCTCTCGGGGTAAATATTTATTTTAGTGCAAAAGAATGCCTAAAGCGGTGGCCTTACGTTCGGCTTCACTAAAAGTCAGCTGGAGTTAGATAAGTAAAATTATGCGCCACTGATATTGATAACGAAATGGCATTTGGGGGGCATGAGATAAACGTGTACCTAGCATGGGAAATATTCGAAAAATCAGTTTCCACCAACACATTTGTCAGTTCCCAAGCGAAGCGTTTGTTAACCTGTCGAAATGTTTCGCAAACAAATCAAAATGCAGACAATAAATGCAACACAAATTGATGAACTGCAACTGCAAAATATGGGTTTGCTTACAGAATGTACAGACAAAAGACTCGAAATGCTTACGTCGAAAAATTGTAAATATATTCTCGACTGGGCCGTTAAATCGCGAACACAATTCCAACTCTAAATGTTTGCAATCTCTTCTCTAACGATATGTTTCGTCTATGTTTTAGCGTTGTTTAATATATTTAATAGCACAATCACTCTTTTAAGATACTTTCTGAAACTTTATTTACATCATTTTTGTATATATTTTTTTTTTTTTTTAGTCGCTCATAACTTTGCCTCAGTATTTTTGAAACCACGCACCATATTTTCCAAGCACACGCGCCCCGAAGGCAATAACAGATGCCGAAACTGAAGCCGCCAACGGAAGACGGGAAAAGCTATATATATTTCCACTTTTCACACGGCCAACGCTGCGTATGAGCAACGACTGAAATTGAAATTGAGCGCACAAAAACTTCTCTGCCGAAAAATACGTTCGAACACGTTCGCGCTCAGCCTCGAACCTCGAACCTCGAACTTCCAACCTCACCTTCGAACTAGTTAGAAGTGAATAAAAGTGGGGGAGAGGGTACAAAAATGTACATATTTAAGCATGATTATGAGTGTGGAAGTATGCGTAAAAATAGTCATCAGAAATTTCTTTCTATGCTGCAGATATAGAATGAATCTGGCACTATTTAAGGAAACTAAAACCTAAAACCTTGTTTGATCCAATAAGGGATAAACATATAAGATGAACTCTCTAGAGCTAGCTAGACCCCGCTACAGACAGTTAAAGATAATAAAAAGGGAATGTGACATTCAGTTCCCCTTCCAGCCACTTTTCCCATACCAGAAGGTGTCCCCGAATATATGTTGGTTATTTTAGACATTTTCCTGGTTTGGCAGAGTTTTAAACAACAAAAGATATCGAGATAGTTTCGCACGACTTTGGAAACTGTTACCAATTCCAACTGTTCCTTCCCCCTCTGGGCAACCTCTAGACTAAAACTAACAGAAAAGACTGAAGTGCAGTGGGTGGATGGTCGCGTGGGCGCTTTGACGTGTTAATGTTTGAGCTTGAGCTGTGTCCTAGGACACCAATACTCACTCGCTCTCTCTTTCCCTCTCACTGATTTGTTGCTTCTAAATGATTTTCCATATTCACATTTCACGCGTCTAAATGTTTGTCTTCTGCTTGGCGCTGTTGTTGCTTTTTTCTATTTGCTTTTGCGTTTGATTCTTCCCGAACGCCGCTGGCAAAATTATCATTCATTCATAAAAAAAGAAGGAGGATGGGCAGAGGGGTGCGGGCAGGCGGGTGCGACTTGCGGGCGTGGGAAACAGAAAACAATAAAGGCCAGAGAACCAGCGCCGGCAGAGCAAACGCAGAACAGCGTCAGAGCAGAGAGCAAGAGACTGGCCAGACAAACAGGCGGGAAAAGTGAATGGGAAAGGACTGGAAAACCATTCGGGATGGGGTACTCGGCGCAGAGGAGGAGCGTTGCTCTTCGCTCTTTACTTTTGGCTTTATTTATATTAATATATGTGTGTTATCTGTGTATGACTGTGTTTGTGTCTTATTTGTATTTATTTTCTTTTTATTCAACGCTTCTGACAAACAAAACAGTAAATGAGGAACAATTTTGTCAGATTTTTGTTACTTTTTACGGCACAAAAAATAACAAAAAAGAAATTTGCAAAAAGAAGAACCTAAAAAAGCGAAAGCTGTGGCCTAACGACTGATGAAATTCAAATCGACACTGGGAGAAAACGTAGGCAACAATTGGGGAACCCAACCCTTTTCGTTGAAGAAAAGAACTAAGAACTAAAACCGAGTAAAAGAGACTCGGAGACCAGAAGTGAAGAGAGAGAGAGAGAGTAAAATACCAGATTCCACTTTTCACACAAAGTTTTCTCGCAGTGTACAAAGCGCCGCCTCAGCCTGTTCCCGTGTTCTGCATTTTCTGTGTTTTTTTCTTCGTGTCTACCCGCCGCTGAAACGGAAAGAACAAAACAAAAATATTCCAGCTGAAAATGTCAACCGAAGGGGAAGGAAAGAAGGACAAACTTTTAGTCGATAAGGTCGTCCAAATCAGAGCACACACAGAATCGGGTTGTAGAACTGACAGAAAATCTGTCAGAGGTCAGAGGGAGTTGGCAAAGGGTGGAGGAGAGACAATGGTGATACCACAGCTGCGATTACCCTAATTCTTTGGCAGGATGCAGAGTGGCCTTAAAGCTGGAGAGTTCTGTCACCCTACCACGAAATTGGGAATTCGTTTTTCCAATGATTTATCTGTGCCACTGGCGGTTGAAGGCAGCAAACATGACACGATGCCGATGAGGATGATGTAAAATAAAAGGGGGACTGTGGATAAGGGTCTCGGATCAACTGCATTAGAACATACAAGGTTGAACACTGGGAGGTTGTTCAACCCCAAAAGAAATCAAGGAACACATTTAATACTCCTTTTTAGAGACTTTAACTAACATTTAGTACAAGTCCCAGGCGCTTTTAACCTTTCCAAGGTCCCCGCTTACATAATCATTCAAGGGCTGGCTGATGCTTGATCTTTCACGAGCCAAAAACTGGGGTTTATTTTTAAACGAAAAACGCTAACCGAAATTACAATTATTTATGTGAGGGGCAAATAATTCATGGCTCATTGCCGCTGCACCTGAAGGCTTATTAAAATAGAGCGAACGAACCCGAGAACCCCAAGCAGAATAAATAGAAGCATAAATAGAAGTGAACAGTCGAGTGTTGCGACTACGGGATACCCCGCTATGAAGACTCACTTGATAGCCAAGGATAGCCCGAAACTATTTTGGATATTTTGTTTACTAGTAAACCTTGCTCCAACTGCTGCAACAATATTCTCGTATATATCCAAAAATCACACCAAAGCGGAGACACAAGTTATACGCTCCCCGTCTGATTCTGTTGCTGCTGTCTCTGTGGCCGTTGACAGGCAAACAGCAAAACCAGATAAAAGACAGCAGCAACGGCAACGGCAACGGGAAAGTGAAATGATGATACCACAAGTATGGAGGAGGGGAGGAGCAACAAACCGAGCGAACAGTTGGCATTTTCGATTTGCGTCAACTCTCGTTCGTCGTTGGTCGTTGGTCGTTGGCAGTGTCCGACCCGAAGACTGGGCGCTGGGCGCAGGGCGGAGGGCGGAGGGCGGGCAGACAGCTCATGTAAAATTGATGCACACGAAGATTCTCTGTCGCTCTGTGTCGTCTGGTGTGCATGTGAAATAATTATTAATAAAAATAATGTGCCATGAAATGTTTTCGTTGTCATCCTAGCAGTTGCACTTCCGCCTGCTGCGCTGTGGCTGTCAGTGGGGGTAAAGGGCAGGCAGATAATTAACACACAACGGGACACAGAAACCTTTTAGTTTTAATGTTAGCAGCAGCAGAAGTAAGCAGCTTGAAAGAGGGATAACTTTGTAACTATTTTCCTGCTCGATTTGGAAGATGAAACATATGCAAAAAGAACAACTTCTAGTATCCACACCGAAATACTTTGAACAGAAGTCCTGCCATGGATTGTTGCTATTCTTCCCTTCACTCTTTTCCCCCTGAATCTGAAATGTCAAATGCTTGGGAACGGACAAGCGGACAGTAAGTAGCTGATTATCCATTGCGCCTGCCACTTCAATTAGCTTTCAATGTGATTTCGAATTAAACTAAATTGTTTATTTTAAAGCAGCCAGTATAATTACATTTTATTTGGCATTAATCGCTCGCTGCCTGCCTGCCAGCCTGCCTGCCTGTATGTATCTTTCCTTTGCTTACATATATTGTGAAAAACTTGGCACAAACCGAAGCCCCGCAATGTGCAGTGCATGACGCAAGTGACACGACGACGACACCCGAAAGTCCGAGACATGCCCGTATGTGCGGGGGATCTCCTCTCAATTTTGTTTGCCAACCAATTGAAAATTGTTTCGGTTAACGTTTGGATTGCATTCATTTGAAGTCATTTTAATTACTTGCAAATTAATGGCGCATATTGTACGCTCTCTCCCTCCGCCCCGTCAAAGTCCCCGCTGATCGTAGAAGCTTAAACAAAACCAACTCATAATTATGCGAATGTGGCTCATAAATATTTCAGGCTGCCAGGGAGGAGGGCCGTTGGCCGTTGGCCGTTGGCTGTTTGTCGTGTGCTCACGAGGGAACTTTGCCGTGAGCAGACGCTAAACATAGATGCCCGAATAAACAAAGTCGAAAACGATGCCCGAGTGTACTACCTTTTAAAAGCTTCGTTCCTTTTCAAGGGTAAACATTATGGGAAAGCAGCAGCTTTGTGGGTGATAAATGTTGATAAAAGCAAGGGGAAAAATATAATATAATATAAATATAGCTGATTAATATTGTCTTTAATGCGTTGTACTCCAAAAAACCCATGTCCGAATGCCACAAAATGCAGCACACAGTTTCAATACGAAGTGAGCCAGGGGCAGGCATCAGTTGGATGCCCAAAAAGTTGGCAGCAAATTCTCGCGCCGTTTTTCAAGTACCTTTTTTCCCTGCATCGATGCCCCCCGTTCTGCTGAGTTTGCTTGCTTTTCGGTGAAGTGCTCGCACTCGATTGGGCATTGCCCAAGTGTATCTCTATGTATCAGCTGCCCATTTCATTATAAAATATGCAATAATAATATTCGACGCCAAGTGCCACACAGCACTCTCGGAGGTTTCCTTCGAAGGACAAGTGCGAGAAAGGAAGGAACTAATAAGCTTTCTGGAAAAATGGATAAAAGTGTATAGAAATTAATGGAAAATATTTAAACTTGTTACGTTTTGTATTCCATAACAACACATCCATGTAGCTCCACTTTTATACCCGGTATTTGATTATTTATTGAAATTTGAGGAGATTCTCTGGTTTATCCTTAAAGATTCCTTGATCGGTGCATGGCTCCCCTGGGCTTTAAATATAAACAATAATTCGGAGTATGTCCAGTTCACTGGCCGTTCCGTCTCCGCGAAACTTTTGCCACAAAACATTGTACAATATTTGTTTTCTTTATTGTCTGCATGGATTTGATTAATTTATTTTTCTCTTGTGCATATCCATTTTGCCTTGTTATCCATTTTCTTTTAGCGCCTTTGTCAGAGCACTTGAGATGCTTTTTTATATCAGCCAGACAGCGGCTAGCTATAGATTTATGTACTCTCCTCTCAATTCAGTATTGTGTTTTCCGTGTCGAAAATGTCGAACATGTCGAAAGCAGTTGGCCATTAAATGGACAGTTGGCCATTAAATGGCCCCCGTGCTTGCTCTCTGCTCATCGTATTTCATTTTGCTCAGCTTACATTCAATTTGCTCTCGGACATTTGGCCGAGAAGTCGCTTGAGCCAAAACATTTGGTTTCACTTTGCGCATAATTAACTTTTCTTTCACTTGGCCGCCCTACA